TATTGTATGTATGTATGTATAGATGATGGCTAGATCTATGTATGATATGTATGTATAGTTGTTGGATAGATCTATGTATGTATATATATAGGTGTTCGATAGATCTATGTATGTATGTATGTATGTATGACGTATGTATTATGTTTACGAATAACTGTTTAGTGGAACGGTTAAATTCTCGTTGACTGTGTTGAATGCACATGGATAAAATACTCTATCATATGTTTCACGGTTCGGCGGCGCTCGGATTACACCGAGATCGAGATCGGTTCGGTATGGATTTAGCTAGCCACGTTGGGAAAAGAACGACTTAACCGATTTTGGGTGGTAAAGGAAATATTTGTTGAGTGTTGATGATGCACGTAGATTTTTGGAAGACGGGTCGGTAAAAATTTGATTATACCGTCAAACGTTGTCTCAATATTCTGTTTTTTTCTAGAGATTTTCATCATTGAATAAAATTTTCAAAATTATTTACATTGAAGACTAAACTTTACTTTTAGAGTTTGTTGGCTATTTTAAGATGGCTTTTTAATGTAATTTTAGCTTAAAACACGTTCAATTCCCTTTCCTTCCTTTTCTAAATATTTTCTACCAGCTATCTTTGCATATATATATTTATTTTATTTATTCATAAGCAAACCGTAATCAATAATAATAGTTATTATTTCAGGCTCTTGTCAAGCTTATTCATAGTTAATATTAAAAGGATAGTAATTTTATAATAATCATAGTAGCTGCACGAATTTCGCATCTGAAATATATATATAAATATATAGTTACAAATAATCCAATAACACGCTTTATAAAACACCACTAACTAAAACTTAATTAATTTAATTTAAATTATCACTGTAGAATCCTGCTTTCTTCGGCATCTCCAACATACGGCTAGACGACCCGGTACGTTTGGCGCCCGGGTCGACACTCTGGCGATCCCTACGAAAAGCAGAAACCAGAAGGAGAACGTTCGATCATTGCCTTAAGGTCAACTCCGATAGATAATAGACAATGCTGGCATATAGATAAAAACCTTGGTGGGTAAACCATTCGAAGTTGTATCGATATTGTAGACAAAACTGACTTCTGGTCGAATTCATTTTAATTTGGCTACACTTTGGCAACTGTAACTGTAACTGTGACAGTATCTTGTAAACAACTAATAAGGGCGCGCAAATGATCGGTCAATAATAAATGAGTATTATGTAAATATTAAAAAAAAATATATAAATAAGTGGATGTACCTGAGACTTCGTTCGCATGGAGTTTTATGTTCGCATGCGATTTATTAATTTTATGTTTTCTCGACGTTTAATGTCATTCTGAATCAAATTAGACCAAAAGTAGAAAAGCTCTGTGTGTGTTTGATATTTTGGCGTTCCGCCGACGTTTCAATAATTAATGCGATTTGATACAGACTAGCGTTTATAAGCATATTGTGCAAAAATCGGCCCAGCCATTTCTCAACAATTTGCAGAATAATGTAGTAATAAATGTTATTGTTTTAGTTGATTATGTATACGTATCGGGAAGTTCATGCAACTTGCCTCAAGGTAAAATGCTGATTACAGCTAGTTCAATTACTAAATTTTAGGCAATTTTCAATGGATATCAAAATATAATCTCAAGCGAATATCTGATAATGGAGAATATTTTAAATAAACATTTATTTACATATATACGTAATGTAACACAAATTTACTATTTACAAACAAAGATGTAAATTAATTATTACAAAAATATTTTCTCAATATCCAATAATAAATTTGATAATACAATTTCACATAATAAAAATATTGATTTTTTTTAAATCCATTGCGAGACTTTAGTAAAAATCGTATTCGATTCTTATCAAGAACACATCATAGTTTTACACATGATTTATGATAAAGATTTTAGATAAAACGACCAGAGACGCATTAATGATTATTTGTGTCTATATTTTTTAATAATTTACAATACTGCATTTATTAAATTTATAATAATATATTTATAAAATTTAATGATTTAATTCCATCTATTGAAACAAAAATAACCATCTATTGAAACAAAAATAATAAATATGAATACTACACAAATTTTAGTATTTGCTATTGCATAATAAACATATCGAGAAATAATTTATTCAAATTATAAAATGTTTATATATATATAACACGATATTACTTTCTTTGAAAAATTATGTCAAAGTTTTAAATTTTTTAATTATGTACAAAGTCTAGAATTTTATGCAGGCAGTACTTCAAATGAAAAATGATGTTACCTTTAAAAAGATAAAATTCAATTTTGAAATGTTTAACAAAATTTATTATATATTTAATCAATTACATTTCACATCTAGAATGGCTTTAAAATATATAGAACGCTATATATTTTAGTTTAGGAGAAAAGTATAAACTGCCAATTTTATAATTTAATGAAGGTCCCTCATAAACTTTTTATTAAAGATTTCTGGAAATGATAATTAATTGTTAAAACCGATAAAACATATAATCGATAACACTATAATTAATTTATTCCAAATATTTTTCTTGCATTTTTTCTGAATATAATCAGGATCATACTTTTAGACATGTTTAGATAAAATAATAATAATTACTTATTTAAATACTTCAAAGGTTTTGAGGCCAGAATTCCAAAAACAAAAACTCTCGCAGAATGCAACTATTTTTTTAAATAAAATATAAACTTTAAATTAATATTTTTTTTTTAATTTAAATACCCTAAACATAAGGCTTGAATTAAATATGTATTTAAATATGTGCATTAATAAAGTACAGTTTTTTTTGCACATTTAAATATTATAAAGTTTTTGGAGACAAAATCCTAAAAATAATAAAGACAAATATTTTGTGAACTAAATTGGGGCAAATTGCTTAACCATAAAAATATTTTGGGCATTTGTGATTTTGCAAAAAACGACCAAAAATTATTTTTCACTGTTAATAGTTTTTGTTCTTACACCCTGATAACTTTTTTCTTTAGGAAGTTTCAAATAGTTCAAACATTTGTGATTTGAAAAAAAAAGACTTAACTAGCTGTAAGTGGAATTCTGTCTTAAGGCAATTAAGGCATCGTGCCTTAAGGCAAATTGCTGGAACTTCCCGTACCGCAATTCAAAAATTCGAGTAATTAAAAATAATCAATAATAATCAATAAAAGTTGATCAATGATTTGAAACTTTTAATAGATTTTCGAACCATATTAAATCATTCTATCTTAAATCATTTATTTTGAAATATTTCGGAAATTCTTATCTTTTCTTCAAAGCAATCGTACTGCTTTAACTGCATAGAGAAGAAATATAGAAGCGCGTAAGCGCCGCGCCGCCGTCTAACGGATAAACATTGGTACGGAACCCATAGGAATGTAAACAAAATGTATACTTATTGTTAAAATCTCTATAAAATATCTGAAAATTTGATGTGCATATGTCTAATGATCATTTTTGACCGCCAGATGGCATTTTTTTACTTTTCTACTACATCTCCGAAACCGCTAGACCTGCATTCATAAAAATAACTGAGTCACCGATTTTGGCACTTTTTGCACCATATCTTCGGAACGGCTAGACCTGCCTTCGCTAAAAACTAATCAGCACGTCTCCTTATCAATACGAATCGAATGTTTATTGAATTATTCAAATCGCTTCATCCGTGTTCCCGAAATCGTCGACGAAAATTTGTATCCGCGCACACACACATACGAGGACACATACACACACGCACACATACATCCATTTTTTCTAAGGTTTGCCAAAATGTTCAGAAACCTTTGAAACGTAAAGATATATAAAAAATTTCATTTTCGATTTTTTTGCGATTACTATAACTTGCCCTAAAGTTAAAAAATGCATACAAAAGTCTGGAAATTAAAAAATGTGTTATAAATATTATATTGGAATAAAATTATTCTTTTTGAATTCAAATGTGATATATGGAAGTTTAAATTTTAATTAAATTATTTTGAAACTTAAATAATTTTGAACATCTTTTTTATTTTAAAATATCTAATTAATCATAAAATTAATAATAAATATTAAATATTTTATTTAATCACCAAATTGAATTTTGGAAAATTTAATGTATAATGGTAACTGCACTCACACACACACACACACACTCGCAATAGATATATATATATATATATATATATATATATATATATATATACATACATACATACATACATACATACACATACACAAGTATCATATTATGATCAAATAATTCAAGTAAACTACTAATTATAATTAATTTATAATCACTTTGACAACTCCGCATATAATTATCCTTCTACCTAACAAATCCACACAAATTTCCGTCAAATTTACAAATTATTACAACTGCAAAAACCACTTTGAAAACCAAAAAAAGTCCTCGACGAATAAAAACACGAATTATTCGATATTGCTCTTGGCCATGCCAACGCGTATAAAACATTTGCCGTCGCATTCGAACAAAATGCATTTATTAAATCTCCATTAATAAAAGACACATGGAAATAGAAAAGTAATAAAATTATATGCAAAATGCTTTCGATAAACTGCTTATATATTGTAGGTGTATTGATAGTGGAAATTGTTGGAAAATCGTCCATTTCGTTGACAAATCGTATATGTGCATCTGCATGCACGAACGAATCAATGAACTTGTGGCCATTGATAGAACAAGTAACATATAAATACAAGTGTTTAGGTTTAGGTTTGTTTTTACAACTTAAAAGCACTTGAAAATAAAAACAGGTAGCTAAATTTATGACACAAGGGCATTTTGGTACTTGAAAGTAACCCCCCATAAACCCTTCGTGCACAAATGAGAGATATAATCAAACCCACCCCGGGGTAAAAATATACCCAAAAACATCCTGCAACATTTTATTTAAACATTACATATATCCTTTACCTTTTACCTTGTGTCCATTACTACTACTACCCCCGAGTGTAAATTTGTCAATAAGTTTTAAGATGCCATATTATAGAAATGTAAAAGAAGACTTACCTAGAGAAACATTTGTGACACTAATTAACATAACACATAACTAATTACACTAATACTACACGAATTTTATGATAATTTCATATATATTTCGACATTAAACATTTTTGGCGTTGCCTCTGATCTTCTGTGTACACTGTTGACTGCAGTGAAGTTGTCGGGTGTGCGTTTCGACATGGAGCAAGCGCTGCCAACAGAGGGAGGTGAGATGGGCGATGGCGCGGGATTCGAAATTATAAATGACATATGATTTGTTTTTAAACAATTTATTAATTATGTTTAAGCGGGTAAATTACACTAAATTGGTACAAAATAGTTTTAGTATGAACATTAATATGATAATTATGAGTTTTTTGTGGTACTAGCATAATATAAAGTACTTTGATCAAGGATTTTTGTTAAATTATTGAAAGGCTGCGTAAAATGTTAGGGGTTGACTATTTTTGGGTATCTCTATACTAGTTTTGTGTATAATCGTGGAAATAATAGAAACCATTCCAAATCTCTGAGAATGTTTAAATTTTTGAAAAAAAGTTTCTTTTTTGAAAACCTAGTTTTTTTTGTATTTCATTTATGTTTTGAAAATAAAGATTTTCTTTTGAAATCAATCGCGCTGTATGGCATCGTGCCTTAAAGGCAAGTTGCAAATATTACAGGTTTTGAAAATACTTAAATTTTTGTAAATAATTGACTTTTTTTGATAAAAATGCTTTTTTTGTATTTCTTTTTTTGAAAATTAAGATTTTCTTTTTCAAACCAATCGCGCTACATAACATCGTGCCTTAAGGCAAATCTTAAAGGTTTTGAACTTTTTTAAAGTTTTGAAAAAATATTGGCTTTTTTTGAAAAATTTGTTTTTTTATATATCTTTTTTTGAAAATTGAGTTTTTCTTTTCAAAGCAATCTTTCTGTATGAAATCGTGCCTGAAGGCAAATTTTAAAGGCTTTAAACTCTTTTAAAGTTTCGAAAAAAAGACATTTTTTAAAGATTTCATTTTTTTTTGTATTTCATTTTTTTTTTGGAAAATTAAGATTTCCTTTTCAAAAAAATCGCTCTGCATGACATCGTGCCTTAAGGCAAGTTATAAATTTTACAGGTTTTGAAATTGACTTTTTGAAAAAAATGTTTTTTTGTATTTGCCTTAAGGCGAATTGCAAATTTTAAAGGTTTTAAAGAAAAAAGATTTTTTTTGTATTTCATTATTTTTTGGAAATTGAGATTTTCTTTTCAGAGAAATTGTGCTGTGTAGCTGTTTTAGAGACAAAATATCGAAGCGCGTAAGCGCCGCGTCGCAGTCTTACGGTTAAACATTAGTGCGAAACCTATAACAATACAAACTAGTGGCGTATGACATAATCCTTTATGGCAAATTGCTGGAACTTACCGTACCTTAGTGAAATATTCGAAGAATAAAATTTAGAAAAAAAAAGAAATTAAAAAAAAACGAAAAAAATTTCATTTACCAAAAGCCATCGTTTCGTCAACACAAGCAGAAAGTTTTTTGAATCATTCAAATCGGGTGCTTAGTTTTTTCAAAAACTGTTTTTATGTACATTTAGCTTGGTATTTCCAAAACGGCTGGACCTGCCTTTGCCAAAAACTAATAATCACTTCTCCCAATCATTACTAATTGAATGTTTTTTAGATCATTCAAATCGGACGCTCCGTTCTCTCAAAAACTCGATTTGTATTTTCTGAACTCTTTGCTCCGTATCTCCGAAACGGCTGGACCCGCCTTCGGCAAAAACTAATTACCAAGTCTTCCCATCGATAGGAATCGATTGTTTTTTGAATCATTCAAATCGGTTGATCCGTGCTCCCGAAATCGTCGGCAAAAGATAGTATCCATAGATAAAAGAAGAGTATGATAGTATCTATACACACAGACATATTCATCTAATTTCTGCAGAAATTTCACTACCCTTAATTAACCATATCTGAAAATAAATTTATTAATTTATATATATATATATATATATATATATATATATATATATAATTGTATCTTATTACAAACGAGTACAAATATTTATCATAGTTTATTTTGAGCAACATTAACAGTACATTAGTTAGCAAATTTTATATAATTGGCACGTTTAAATTTACTAATTCTAGATATTAATTTTTTTATAAATTTATTCGTTCAACACAGTTATATTTTTATTTATTTAATTTTATTTATGTACTTTATTAAGTCAACAATAATTCGTTTATATATAATACTGTCTTTTTGTTTCAATAGCAAATAACATGGAAATATCTCGTAGCTTAATTATTTACACAATAATAATAGAAATAGAAATATATAATTGTGTATATATATGCATATATATATATATATATATATATATATATATAAATAACATGCTGGCAAATTTATAAATATTGGTCTCGAATATGAAAATGACTATTTAGAAATTTTATTTGCTTGATGATGAATTATATTTTTAAAATGTTTATTTGCAGTCAAACAGTCGGAATAAAATGCATTAAAATCATTTATCGTTTCGATACCGTATGTGTGTCATCATTCAGAACGTTAATAATTTCTAAAAAAATATTGAAGTTTTGAAAAAAAAAACTACAAGATTACTACTAGAACAAATATAAATATCAATACATACCAAAGTAGAAAAAAAACAACACATTTTTTAACTTCCCGAAGGAAAAGTTTATGTTTTCATCAAAAAATCCGATTCGCTAATTTTATGTTTTCTCGACGTTTCAAGCCATTCTGAATCGAATGATACGAAATTTGGAAGAAGTATGTGTGTGTGTGTGCGTGTATGTGAACAGATTTTTTGCCGTAAATCGACGTTTTCTCAAAAACGCCTGAGCCGATTTCAAAAATTTAAAAGCCATTTGGTGTATCACAATGAGAACTATCGCTTCTCAGTTTTGTGCGACGATCGGCCGAGCCGTTTCTTTGTAATTTGGAAAAAATGTTAAACTTTTCGTCCACATTTAAAAACATATTACATAAATACAAAGTTGATGATAAATATAAATATATAAAAAAATTACACATTAGTGTTCAATCAATTTTACATCATAATTAATTTTTTCTGTTGTTTTTCCTGGTTTGGTATGTAAAATATCCTCCTGTTTATATATTTATATTTATCATAAACTTTGTATTTGTGTAATATGTTTTTAAATGTGTTGTTTAAATGTGGACGAAAAGTTTAACATTTTTTCCAAATTACAAAGAAACGGCTCGGCCGATCATCGCACAAAACTGAGAAGCGATAGTTCTCATTGTGATACACCAAATGGCTTTTAAATTTTTGAAATCGGCTCAGGCGTTTGATGACACACATCAAGTGTCGAAACGTTTAATGGAATAAATAATTTTGTTATTTAATTTTTTTTTAATTCGACGATTGGGCTGCAAAAATATTACAAATATGTATCAACGTCGACAAAACTATCATCGTATATATATATATATATATATATATATATATATATATATACACGTATATATACGTATATAATAGATATTTATATAAATTCTTTGTTTATTTTTACAATTTGACTCCAAATAAACGTATATCAAATACTAGACAAAATTTTATAACCTATTATGACAAAATTATAAAACATTTGAAAAAGCTTTCAGCCAAATGTATATGAAAACAACCCTCATTAAAGCCAATATTTAGAATAACTTGTATAATTTAATAATTTGTTTCTTAATCGACTAACAATCAATATATTTAAGTAAAATTAATTGTAATTTGAGCATGTCGGTTAAAATTTATAATGGACATGGTTTGTTTATAGAAACCTATAAGGCCTCGAGCTCATATACAAAATAAATTAACTCGAATGGAATATTCTGAATCGAAGACAATTTTATTATACAAAATGTATATGTGCTCGAGATCTATTAATAATATATATATATATATATATATATATATATATATAAGCCTATATTATATTTTTATTTACATCTACATTTATATATAGTATGAAAAATATATTATATAAACATTTATCAACACAAAGACAAAGAATTTTATAATTTAAAAATTATTTTAATAAAAATCCCTGCCTTATCAGTATTTAAATACTATATAGAATTTTTATACAATCACATATTAGACGACTCAAATTATTTTGTGACTTTTATGTCTCAAAATGTTTGCTAATTTATATAAAATTGGAATTATTTACACGGGTAAAAGAAATATCAATGTGGCAGTCGAATTTAAATGAAATTTTGTTTGTGAGTGGAAATTAGAATTTAAGGCCATTTTTTATATAAATTTTAGTGAAAAGAAGTTTAAAGAATTTTTTTATATAGTTTGCATTGCAATTACATTAAGCAAGCATGAAATACATTCACTCGAGCACTTTGATACTTCATAAAAAAAAGATGTATGAACTCAGCAACTACCCTTGACACATGCTAAGATATATATATATATATATATATATATATGTATATATATATATATATATATATATATATATAGATATTTGGTTCATCTCGTGTTTCATATTGTTGTTAAGCTTCCTGTAAAACTTTCTCACGAAAAGTTGTAGTTTTTCTGATTTAATCTTTGCATATGATGAAGTACTTTTATACATACCTATATGTATATATATAAATAATTTTTTTAGTCCTTATGTACATGAAAATCTCCATATCGACTAGGCCATTCCTGAATCAAACGATCTAGAAACAAAATCAAAATTATTATTATGATCATAGTTTATCAATATATCAAAATAATAATTAAAAACTGAAATTATAATTGAAAAACACATGCAGTTCTGAATTTTCACCCTACAACCATAAACCCCTATTCTGCAATAGTAATTTTAATAATCAAATCATTTTTTTTATCTATATTAAGATTTCTAGCAGTTATTGAAAAAATTAAATTTGACTACAAAAACATTTTTTTAAATGAGGGTTGTCCACCCCAACTAATTTTTTAAATTTTTTGTACAAGTTTTTTTTAACTTCCCGAAGGAGAAGTTTATGTTTTCATCAAAAAATCCGATTCGCTAATTTTATGTTTTCTCGACGTTTCAAGCCATTCTGAATCGAATGAGACCAAATTTGGAAAAAGTATGTGTGTGTGTGTGCGTGTATGTGAACAGATTTTTTGCCGTAAATCGACGTTTTCTCAAAAACGGCTGGACTGATTTCAAAAATTTAAAAGCCATTCGATGTATCTCAATGAGGACTATCGTTCGTCAGTTTTGTGCGACGATCTACCAAGCCGTTTCTTTGTAATTTGGAAACAAGTGTTAAACCTTTCGTCCACATTTAAGCTCATACTACCGAATCGATTTTAAAAAATCAAAAACTGTTCGAAAGACATTAGTTGGGAATGATAATGATTAGATTTAGGTGAAAATCTACCGAACCGTTTTCTTGTAATTAACTGTTGAAAAAAAAAATTGAGTCGATTTTTATGGAACTTTTTTTGGCGATATATACCATGGTCTTATAGAACTTACTGAAATATTACGGCCTTACGACAAGTAGTTTAATTTTAAAAATTCATCAAAGTTTGAGAAAATGAGTAGTTTTCTTGACGTTTGTTCAAATTAAAATTATATGATTTAGTTGGTATAACGATAGTATACTTGGTCTTGAACATAGTAAACTATTAAAGTCCTACGGAAACTGGTTCAATTATAATTATAATTATTGATTTTTGAAAATATGCTCTTAGAAAATACTCCCAGTTAACGTGTTCGTTCGTTCGTTTGCAATGATGTGTAATAAATCCACTAAATTAATTTATTTTTTATTGATCAAGTCGATTATTTACACATATCGGGAAGTTCATGTAACTTGCCTCAAGGCAAAATACCAGTACCAACTAGTTGATAATTTTTTTTACATTCTCCTGACCTAATAATAAAGCATGAATTTTACTTAAAAAAAAAAACAATTTATTTTTATCAAATGTTGCACACCCTTCCTATTTTACCATTGTAAAAAAAATCCCCGATGCATAGTTTATAAATAGCTTTTTTAAGGAGTAATTTTTGCAAAAAATGAGAAATTAAATATTAAAATCTGAAAATTCCACAGTTTTTGATAGGGAACTAGGTACCATACAAAGCTGTAACATTTTCCACTCTCTCAATTTTTTTTTCAATATCAGTCAATTCGTTGACCATGCCAAATAGCAATATAGTTTAAAATGAATTATGGGATTTTTCTTCGTAATTAAAAAAATAATGCGGTAATAATATAACAAACTTTTGAATATTTAAATGTGTCAATTCAATTTGACGGCAAAATGACGAATTCCGGGTCAGCTAGTATATATATATATATATATATATATATATATATATTATTACCTATAACTTATTTGCTTGCAGTCTCTGAAATGTGCTTTGCATAACAAAATTGTACCCAGCATAACAATGGGTAATCCGAGTAAACAGCAAATCATTTCACCAGTAACAGCAGGCCCCCATTCGACTATAGCTGAAATCACAAAAAAGAAATCAAAATCTATTAGGTGATAATTGTAAAAATGTGTTTGAAGGAAAACTTTTTTAGGCGCGACTAGGGAGTAAATCTGTGCAAATGCAACGGAAAAAGCGAATAACGAATGAAAAATCTGTGCCGTGTAAGAAACGTAAGTTTATTAAAATAATCTGTATTATTCGTGGTTACTATATGTTTTTAGAAATTATTTTTATAAGCTAGACACATACTACAGCTGCTCAAGAACAAGACTGTATCGCCAGCGAAATAGTCAAAACAAACAAACAGTCAATAAATGTATGTTAATTTCAATAACTTGACGAGTGAAACAACTGTTCTTGTTCAAATGTCAAAGCTTAGAATTTCATTTTACTGAATCCTGAACGTAAAGTATTACAAAGTTTCACATTGTTATAAATAATGCAGAATGAATTGATATTCAGATTTATTACTCTAAATAAGAGATCAAGCACGACAATAGTTTGTAGAATCATTTGACTTTTTTTTAATAATTGGGATGTATAACTTTTGTAGCAACTACTATAATCAACAACTTTTTACGAATTTGTAGTCGAGGTGTGTAAAGAAGTTTTACTTTAAAAATTTTAGATGGTATTTCTTATGGCATGTGGGGTATCGTTTGAAAGGTCTCGACTAGTAGAAAACGATTTTCACAAAAATGATTATATTGTAATAAAAACGTTATTGCAAACAATATTATAATGTTGAAATTTATTCTTTTTTTTTAATAATTGAGGCGTAAAACTTTAGCGAATATTAAAACCAACGCTGTTTTTGAATTTGTAGCCGAGGTGTCTAAAGAAGTTTTACTTCAAAAATTTTCAATTGTATCTTTGTAATAAAAACATTATATTTTATTGCAAAAAATAATAGAATGTTAAAATTTGTTTTTTTTAATAATTGAGGCGTAAAACTTTAGCGAATATTAAAACCTACACTTTTTACGAATTTGTAGCCGAGGTGTCTAGAAAAGTTTGACTTCAAAAATTTTCGATGGTATCTTTATTGGCATGTGGGGTATCGTTTGAAAGGTCTCGACGAGTAGAAAACGAATTTCACAAAAAATGATTATTTTGTAATAAAAACGCTATATTTTATTGCAAAAAATATTAGAATGGTAAATTTAAAGATTTTTTGCTTAAAAAATTGAGTAAAACTTTTGCAGCAAATACTAAAATTCGATCAAAACTTTTTACGAACTTAAGTGTCTAAAGAAGTTTTACTTCAAAAATTTTTGATTTTATCTTTGTAATAAAAACGTTATATTTTATTGCAAAAAATAGAATGTTAAACTTTATTCTTTTTTTTATTAATTGAGGCGTAAAACTTTAGCGAATATTAAAGCCAACACTTTTTACGAATTTGTAACCGAGGAATCTGAAGAAGTTTTACTTCAAAATTTTTCGATTGGATCTTTTATGGCATGTGGGGTATCATTTGAAAGGTCTCGACGAGTAGAAAACGAATTTCACAAAAAATGATTATTTTGTAATAAAAACGCTATATTTTACTGCAAACAATATTATAATTGAAATTTATAGCCGAGGTGTCTAAAAAAGTTTTACGATTTTTCGATTGTATCTTTGTAATAAAAACGTTATATTTTATTGCAAACAATATTAGAATGTTATTTTTTTTTATTAATTAACGGGTAAAACTTTAGCAAATATTAAAACCAACACTTTTTACAAATTTATAGCCGAGGTGCCTAAAGAAGTTTTACTTAAAATTTTTTAGATTGTATTTCTTATGGCATGTGGGGTATCATTTGAAAGGTCTCGACAAGTAGAAAACGAGAAAACATTTATATACAGATATATTTCATAATGGACATCTATGCAGTTTATTTATTGCTAGTTTTAATGAAATTACTCGAGATTGTTATCCCTACAAACAAATCCATCCACAAGGATATAAAAAAAATATTCAAGGTCTAAAATAGACAAATAGATAGAGTAATTTTGTGTAATAGATAGAGTTTTTGTGTGGTCACAAATGTATACTTAAATCGCTTTAGAATAATGAAAATATTGATCAATAAGTTGGAACAAATTTAGTAAATTATTATAATTCTAAAAAAATATTCATTTGTTGATGTGACAAAATCTTTAGACTTTGTAGAAGACATCAAACAAAATATTTGAGGCCATAATAGACAATTAGGTGACAATATTTTTGCACTTGAAATGAAAACCATGAATAGTCAGTTAAAAAAACGTTGGAAATTATTAAGATTTTAAGCAATATTTCATAGTACACTGTGTGAACGATAATTACTGATCGGAAACTACTTCATTTCTTTAATAAAGTTTCAAGTCCAAAATGCTAATTACAATGACAAACCGATCATGTCATATTTAAAGTATGACTTTAATTACATTATTGTAATTGTAAATATTAAAAATATTTTTAATCCTTTTTTGTACTGCATTAATCTTTTCTACTTACCGACATTCCCCTGAGGCACCAATTTGAACACCGACCAGTACAAACCAGCAAAAGGCAAAGCCATAGTGATCAGAGACATCGTAAAAACAGCAGACTCGCACAAAATCAGAAACCGTACCAGAAAAATCACAAAGGCTATATAGGCCAAGGTGAACATCCATCCATAAAACCTGATCAATTCACATTTATCCTGATTCGTGATCAATTTAGAAACTTTCACATTCGTGTGCTGCCTATTTAGTTTATGTTTCCTCAAATTATGGGCTCTCATCAGTGCTTCGTGTTTGTAATTTCTTTTGTGGAACTCTTGGCGAAGAAGGTACTCATCGTAGTTCATTTGGAATTTTTTGGTGGCATCCAGGCTGGTTAGGAGATCTCTTTTGTTTCTGGAGGTTTTATTGAAGGTTTGGCTGTGGGGCGTGAGATTTGATAGGTAGTCCAGCTGCTGTTGAGACAAAGTGTTGTGGTTTGGTATCTCGAAGTGACAGGATAAGCCTCGGTGGGTTTTGTAGATGAACTCGGATGGAGAGGTCACCTAAAATAGATATACATATAAATATTTTGTAAAAATATATATTTATATAGATTAGGGTGGTCCTTAATATGGACATTTTCGAATTTCCTTGCTCCCAAGGGTTCAAATGGTTGCAAATTGATAAATAACAATTCTCTGAAAGTTTTAGCTCTTTATATTGTCTTTTAGATAGTGCGCAATTCAATCAAACTTCGTAAGAAAATAGCATGAAAAAATTTTCAAAAATTTTGCAGAGTGTCGAATTGTCAATAAAAAATGACACGAATTTTCACTTTCAATTCATTTGTCGCTAAGTTATACCTAAAAATTTTTTTTAAAATTTTGAAAATTTTTTCTATGCTATTTCCATACGAAATTTGATTGAATTGCGCACTATCTAGAATACAATATTAAGAGCTACAACTTCTGGAAAATTGTTTTTTATCAATTTGGAACCATTTGAGCCCTTGGGAGCAAGGAAATTCAAAAATGTCCATATTAAGGACCACCCTAATGTATATATATATATATATATATATATATATATATAGAAAATTTCCATGTCACAATGTTTGTTAGCGTACTCCTCCGAAACGGCTTTACCGATTTTTTACCGAATTTTATATTCGTATTCAGTAGGTCTGAGGATCGATTGAACTAAGGGTTGTTCATGCTTACATTTTTAGCTTTTATTAACTTCCCGTAGGGTAAGTTATTGTAATCGTCCAAAAATCGAAATTGAAAATTTTCACATTTCTCGACGTTTTGAAGGTTTCTGAACATTTTGGCATACCTCAGAGAAAATGGATGTGTATGTGTTTTGTATGTCCGCATTTTTTCGTCCACGTTTTCGAACGCACGGATCAACCGATTTGAATGATTTACAAAACATTCGATTTCTATTGATAGTCAGATGTGCTGATTAGTTTTTCGCAAAGGCAGGTCCAGCCGTTTCGGAGATACGGAGCAAAGAGTGCAGCAAATACAAAACGAGTTTTTAAGAGAACGGAGTATCGGATTTGAATGATCTAAAAACATTCAATTTGGAATGATTGGGAGAAGTTGTGTTCAGTTTTTGAAGGCAGATCCAGCCGTTTTGGAGATACCGAGCTAATTGTACTAAAAATGGCAGTTTTTGAGAAAACTAAACATAAGATTTGAATGATTTAAAAGCTTTCAGCTTGTTTTGACAAAATAATTGCTGTTGGAAAAAAAATTATCTCAAATTTTTTTTTCTAAGTTTTTTTTCCCTAATTTTTTTTATTTGTATATCGAAAATGATTCAGATTTTTTAATTACGGTACGGGAAGTTCCAGCAATTTGCCTTAAGGCCCAATGCCATACACAACAAGTTTTAATTCTGATTTTCGAGCTAAAAGAAAAAGCATTAATCTTACATTAAAATACAATCTATTTTTATTAAGGGTTGCCCAGTCCCTTATATATTTTTTATTTTGAGGTCAATTTTCTTTAATTTTTTTAATGTGGAATTGCAAAACAAAAACAATTCTTTTTACTTCAAAATACTATTGATTTTTATCAAGGGATATTATCAAGGGTTGTCTACCCTTAATTTTTTTTCAAATTTTGAGACCAATTTTCTATATTTTAATTTTCTATAATTCGAAATTGAAAAATACATGGAATTCTTCTTACTTCACAAAACTGTCCTTATAAAGGGTTGTTCACTGCCTATTTTTTTTTCAAATTTCGGAATCAAATTTGACTTTGTATTAGTTAAGATTTTTTTGAGCTTATGAAAAAGCTTAAATGTTACTTTAAAAACTAAAATCATTATAACTAAAAACTAAATTTTAAAATTATTTTAATTAAGGGGTGTCCAACCCTCACATTGTTTTCAATTTTAGGGTCAATTTTCTTTATCTTAATATTATTATTTTTTTTTCAATGTGGAATTGAAAAATACATACAACTCTTGTTACTTCAAAATACTATTTATTTTTATAAAAGGTTGTCCATCTTGAAATTTTTTTTTGAATTTTGGAATCAATTTTCCCCTTATTTTAATTTTCATACTGCGGAATTAAAATATGCATACAACTCTAAATTTACACCCTCCTTCCACAAATTTGGATTTATATTACCCATATTATAAGGTTGTCAAATATCTCCCTTCCGCCTTTTTGTATTATAAACCAAGAGCAAAAAAGCGGAAGGGAGATATTTGACAACCTAATATAATATGGCTGTTATAGTAATCAAATTTTCAACATGCTTTCAGTCAGTGAATGTTTTTTATTGAACTTCAATTCATATTATCCTGATCTTATGATAAAGCATGAATTTTACTTAAATCAAAAAAACAATGTCTTTTTATTAAGGGTTGTCCACCCCTCCCATTTTCACATTGTACAAATATTTTCCAATGCGCACAAACAGTACATAGTTTATAAACGGTTTGTATAAAATTAATTTTTGCAAAAAATAGAGAGATTGAATTAAAATCTGAAGATACAACAGTTCTTGATAGGAAATTAGGTACCACTATGGTGAAACAATTTTCCACTCTCTCAATTTTTCAATCTCAATCAAAACCCTGGGCATGCCACATAACAATAGAATTTAAAAATGAATTATCGGATTTTGCTTCGTAATTAGAAAAATAATGAATTAATGCTGTAATAATATATCAAAATCTTGAAATTTATATGTGCCTAGAATTAGTTTCAGATCAGGTTGACTCTTGCAAAAGACTATTAAGAGACATTTATATGTGGCATGCTTTGCAGTGGGTAAACTATTCATATGTTTTTTGTTAGCTTCATATGAATTAAATGATGATTTAAATATTTAAATCCACTAGAAGTATTTTTTATGGCAAAACAACTTGCCGGACCAGCTAGTATATATATACCCATACACACACACACACATATATATATATACGAGTATATATATATATATATATATATATATATATATATATACTCTTTACCTTATCCTCCGATGGCAACATATCGATCCAGTTCCCGAACAAAACAATAATCAACCCCACAAGATGTATCCAGGCCAACATATGCAACTCCCTGGTCTGCCTTTTGGCACCACTGCCACCACAACAGTTGGCTCCCATCATACTTGTCGTGGAAGTGACTTCACGTTGACTCGGTGAATTTGGCAGAAGGGGATCAGAATGTGACACCAGCCTGGAGACTGTCGAGAGCAGGGTTGGTGGTTCTGGTTTGTCGATGGGCAGATTCTGATTGAAAAAAAAAAATGGAATTAATAATAGAATTATGGGATGTACTTTATTCTGTTCTAGTGTCTTCCGCACTCAACAGAGGGTCTACTACTGTGCTGGAATTCATCACTTTTCTTAAAAAAAACTGATTCGTTTACTATAATACACATATATTAAACGTTTAGTTATTTGAAAACATATTTGTGATTTAGTTGAAAATCTTATATACAGTAGAACCTCGATTATCCGGACCTCTGTTATACGGATTCGCGATTATCCGGACATAATCGCGTCGGAACTTGCATATTCTGATGTGCATATATACATTAATACATTCTCTGTTTTGACGTGCATATATACATTTTTAAAGGGTGGTGTTATCCCTTAAAGATAAAATAAATATTATAGAATCATTAAAAAAGGCGAAACCGGCCGTAAGTTGGCTGATAGGTATGATGTAGGTACATCCACTATAAGCGATACTTAAAAGAATGCCGATTCAATTTTGTCGTACACGAAAATGGAGAAGAGACCGAAAAATGAACTCTTAGAAGAAAGCTCTATATTGTTGGTTTTAACAAAAACGATCAACAAATTATTCGTAAGCAACTTTTCTTCTTCATTGATACTCTACGTAACACCTGAATATTTTACCTCATGATTAATATAATATGTATAATGTAATATAAGAAAATATGTAATTAGTGTTAATTTTCTAATAAACATCGATTTTTGTTGATATCTATGTATGCATTTGTTATTTTTGATAAACAAAACATTATTCTTCATAATTTGGATTATCCGGATTTTCGATTAAATTAAATTAATTAATCGAGGTTCTACTGTATAAAAATTAATCGCAAAATGTGTTGGTAAGCGCATAATTCAACAACGCCTAGACCGATTTGGCCAATTCTTTTTTCAAAATGTTCGTTGATGTCAAAGGATGGTTCTTACGGCGAGAAAAAATCGAATAATTTCCGGGAAAACCCTAAAAACAGCCTTTTTCTTTTTCTCATGCAAACGTTTCCTAATTAAAACGTCGAATCAATTTGAGCTTTATTGCTATTATATAAAGTTAATTTTAAATTACAAGCACTCACTGTATACTCCTCCTAAACGATTATTCGGATTTTGATAAAACTTTCTGGAGTTTGCTAAGGAAATTTTCTAGGATGTATGTGATTATAAAGTACTGGGACGTATGTGCAATATTGTAGAAATAAATGGAAACAATTGTAAAAAACGACATGTCATTGTGTGCATTGAAAACAAATAAAAACTATCATTTGCCAATAATTTCAATTTACTTATGAACCCAGACAATATTAGAATATGTATAATAAATTCATGATTATGAATAAGAAAAATGAAATGTCTACATTATTATTGCCAAAAAGCAGCTGAGATGTGCCAGAAATTAAAGAAATATAAAATACAGTATATGTATGGCAGATTGAATGGTACACATATGACAAATTAATTCACTTGAAATATGAAATTAAGTATTAATCAGGGCCGGTTCTACCTTTAATGCGATGCATGCGAAAAATACGAGCGCACGCCTTAGGGGGCGCCAACACAAAATTCGGATATTATATTTTCAATATAGTTTTTTTTTCAATATATAATTTCTTTGCATCTTTTACCAATCTTTCCACAATATTTTTAAAATGCGTAAAAATTTCACTTTACAACAACAAATGGGAAAGTAAAAATGAATACATACAATTCGGGCCTGACGATATCGATTAGGAGAAATTTAAGATGCAATTTTGGATATCATAAATAATAAAAAATTAAATTAATTTAATCCAACATGAAGTATTATATTATGGTTATGGTTATATTATACCGTTTAAAAGACTTCAATTTCCAATATAGTGTGAGAATTGAGACTCCTTATTTTATTTAAAGCATTTCTACATTTAACATCGCTCATATTATAAATGTATATGCATTTTGGCATGAAGAGTAATTTAAAAAACAATAATAATTATTTTCAGGTAAATGGTAAATATTAGTATATTATATTAAAAAATTTTAGACATGAGTATAAGACAACGTCTGTCGGGTCATCTAGTATATTATATATGCGTATATTTTGTTCTCATTTCATTTAGCCAAATTAATCAGGTTTCTCATTTCGATATTATATATTTATATAAGTCTTATCTAGAATTAAACCTAAGGGTAAGTTTACGTGCTATAGTTGGTGGCGCCTCTATGGAGTGCGGAAATAATTAAAATTGAAGTAATGGCAAAGCGGCCGTGTTTATCATCTATTTAATACTTCTTTTATCTATGAATGGAGAGTTGAAGATGTCTTACCATTGTTTTCTGGATGATGTGGCTTTCCAGGAATGTTATGTGTAGAGTCCATAAAGCTAGACCTGAGTAAAAAAATTGTGGAAATTAAATAGATTCAATATTATTTCTATATCCTTACTTACCTATAACATAGACGAGTGTCCATATAAGCCTCTGCCTCCAAGTGTCCGTGCCATCTTCATCTGTATCGATTTCAGAAACCGGAAAATCGGTTTCGGTACTCAATTCGAAACCTCGACACCTATATTCGTCACATAAACCGTAATCGACCGCAATAAATAAACCGACAACGCTTGTTGTCGCTGAAAATATCCTCTGAAGACCCATCACTAGAAAAAAGAGTACGCGTAAGGTTCACACGCGATTAGTGTTGACCATTATACACATCTATATAAAAATAAATTATAAATTATATATTTATAATAGCATTAAAAATTAACATGGTTGTTATAATGTTTATTTCATAAATTTATCAAAAAAAACGTGACGAACAGACATAAAGGCGAACATGTTGGTTGAGTTCTGGGACAACCCTGCACATCTATATTGGTAAATACTTTTATATTGGTAAGAAAATATAAATTGTATTTTTAAGCAAAATTTATTTTTGCTTTCTTAGTTCAACAATACCTATTTTGATTTTAAATTATTCAATAAACTGCAAAACTTGTACTCGTGGCTGCAAAAATTAAGTGTTGAGGTATGTCACGTACTTCTTTTATTTGCCATGTATAAAATAATATTTAAGGGGTTGTTATAAGGATAAAAATGCATTTTATACAGTACCCGTATCAAAAGTCTGTATAACATGTATTTCTTATGATGAGATACCTATATCATATTCACGTATGCCTAAATCTTAAATTCTATGTTGTACGCCTTTTAACTAACTATATAGTACGCCTAATACACCTAATACGCTTACACCCTATATACATAATACGTCCAATATTATTCCTTATCTTTCAAATATAATTTTGGTTAAACGCTAATTTTTCCGAACCCTACCGAGAATCGAACCCGAGCTTCCTGCATGGCAGACAGCAACCTTAACCACTGGACCACCGTAACGCTGCTATGGATCGCCTTTTTCCGCGTGTCGTCGCGTCACCTTAGTATTAATTACTTAATTAATAGGTAAAGGTACCACGAAAAAATAGTGCACCCCTTAATATATTATTTGTGGGGTAAGTAGTGGTTAAGACTGTGGACCGCCACGCGGTGGTCCCGGGTTCGATTCCCGGTGTCGGCGATAGACAATAGAGTATACGGTAGAGACAATAGATAATAGATAAGAGTAAAATATATAAGTCTATATATAATAATAAATATTTAATATATAATAGATAAGGGTAAAAAGATGTGTAGGGTGTATGTTATATATAATAGGTTAATAGCAAACAATGATGAAGCAGTAATAAATTTATATATAAATGTAGGGACTGATGGTCTTAGGTATCGTACGGTATGGTTAGATAGGTAATAATTAGATATAAGTCCTTTAACGTATTGTAATAGATCTTGGGTACTTTTATATAAAAAAAGAGTGCGCGAAAATATGACACAATCGGTTTGTCAATGTAATTAGCATTTAGAAATGAACCTTCATTAGAAAAAATGAAGTAATTGCTGATTAATAATTTCAAAAATATTCGTTCACACAAAGTGGATTATGTTAAATAACGCCTAAACAACAAATATTATTTTCACAATTTCACTCATCATCATATAATATTTGTGTTTGAAGAACTTCATGTAATTTAAATTAACATACATTCATTGACTGCTTGTATTTTTTTTTACTTTTTCGGCGATTATAATCTCATTCTTTGAATAACTGTAATATCTGTCTTGCCTAAAAAATATTTTCCATTTTAATAACTTCAAAGATTTATAGAAACTACGAATAATATAGAAATAATTTCTAATCAATAAACTTACGTTTAGTACGTGGCACAAATGTTTAATTTGTTTTATTATTTTCAAGGAACAGGGTAAAATATTCTTCTGATTCAGGCATTTTTCATTAAATCAACATTTGTACTACGATGTAATTTTAAAATATTTATTTATCTATCTATGTCGATTTCTTTGTTGATATCGGTACGCATACAACGACAGATCTCTATTCACCTACACGACGACTAATGACGAATCATTGGTACTCGACTCTTATCTTATCTGCCGTAACGCACTTCCGTTTCATTTGTACGGATTTACATCCTAGTTGCGCCTAAAGAAGTTTTACTTCAAAAATAAATATTTAACCGATGATAGATAAATAATTAGTTACTAAATAATCTAAAAATTCTATATTTACCTCGTCTGCACATGAAGAAATAAAAAATCAACGAAAGCAACATAGTCAGTGCTTTTAAAGGATCTTGCAAGTGGCAAGGTATCCTCGAGTTGGCCATCGTTATCAAAGTACCTCCCAAGCCATAAGAACAGCCTATCATTAAAGTCCTGCAAAAAAAGTTACATAATAAAGTCAGGCGTAACCAACTTCCGTCCAAAAAAAGTTTTACTTCAAAAATCCCACACACCATTTCTTATTATTACTATTATCTATTACCTGTAAACGTTGAAGGGCGGTTTAAGCACCCTGACATCCCAGTTGGAAACCCACGAACTGATGACAGCCAAGGCGCACACCGTCGCCGTCGTCACCGTCGCAACAAACAAGAGGCCGCTGTACCGGGTCACGTGCTGCGAATTCAGTTCCAGTTGCCGCCAATAGATGGGGTACAAAACCGTCACCAGGAAGGACAGGACCACCAGGGCGCAGGAGGTGAAGAGGAAGTTGAATTTGTGGCGCCAGGACTCTGAAAATAAAATTAATTGTTACTTGTTACCACTAGTTTGGTATTCCATTATTAGACGATTGCGACATGCAAATGGACAATTTGGAATATTTGGCCAAATTATAAATGTGCCTGTTGACGTTGATAATATGGTTAATTTATTACCTCGTAATATTGATGATGAGCATTGCATTAACGTTCAAATAAAAAAGAAAATGATTCATAGATCAAGCTATGTGCAGGGCTTGATAAATAAAACAAATATAAAAGTATGGCTTCAATTTTTTAGACAAGACAGATATTACAGCTGCTCTAAGACGTCACTTCACTCATCATTATTATTATTATTTTACCTGTCGTGTTTCCAAAGTCGTTCTGTGTGGCTATCAGATGAGGATAATTACTCAAAGGATTGGAGTTCTGCTGTTGCTGCTGCTGATTTTGACTTTTGGCATATGCGAATTGTATGTCTTCGAAATCTGTGAAATCTTCATAATCAGATCCCACCAGAAGATCTTCCTGATCCGAATTCGTCGGCGTGGAGTCGTTGTCGTGGAGATCCGATAACATTTTGATGGACTTGGTTAACTGAAATAAAAGATACATATAAAGTATTATACATTGTTCTAAAAGTCTCAAAATTCTTAGTTTTTTTGTATCGCAACTTCGAATTCCGCAAGGTGTGGCCTACAGGCAAGTTCCAATTGAAAAATTTGAGGAAAACTGGAAATTCTCGAGAAAATTGTATGAACACACTTAACGATTTATATATCAATTCATTCGTAATTTTATTCTGCATCTTTCGTACGAACGAAGTTTTTTCGTATCTTTTACGGTTTAGATAGTATAGACTTTATTTAGATAGTATATAGAGCAATCTGTGTAGTTGTTAACTAGTCAAAACGCAAAGTGCGGATAGGTTGGAGCAATACTCCTCACGATTCGATATTTCTGTAAAGAAAACATACAAAGTATTATACATCGTTAGAAAGGCCTCAAAATTCTCAAAATTCCCATATATCGCAACTTAGAATTCCAAACGGTGTGACCTACAGGCGAGTTGCCGTCGTAAAAATTCGGGAAAATTGGAAAATCTCGAAAAAATTGTATGAACACACTTAACCATTTATATATCATTTTATTCGTAATTTTATTCTGCATATTTTGTCCTAATGAAGTTTTTCCGTATCTTTTACGGTTTAGCTTGTAGAGAGCAATCTGTTACACAAAATTTTGAAATACAGAGAGATTTATTGAACAAATAGTGAATTTTTTGGCATAGTAAGTACTACTTAGTAATAAATTTATGAATAATGCGAAAAACAGAAGAACAGGAGCACCAAGGCCCAATATTTGTATTATTTTTGGCAGATTTATTAAATTTTTAACTTCCCGTAGGGCAAGTTATAGTAATCGCAAAAAAATCGAAAATGAATATTTTTATATATCTTTACGTTTCAAAGGTTTCTGAACATTTTGTATACCTTACAAACAATGGATGTATGTGCGTGTGTGTTCGGATACAAATTTTCGTCGACGATTTCGGGTACACGGATGAAGCGATTTGAATAATTCAAAAAACATTCGATTCGTATTGATAAGGAGACGTGCTGATTGGTTTTTGACGAAGGCAGGTCTAGCCATTTCGAAGATACGGGACAAAAAGTGCCAAAAATAGTAACTCGGTTTTTAAGAGAACGGAACGTCCGATTTTAATAATTCATAAAAACATTTCACTTGCATTGACAAGATGAAGAATTGATCAAATTTTCATGAAGGCAGGTCTAGCGGTTTCGGATATCTAGTAAAAAAAGTAAAAACAAATGCCATTTGGCGGTCAAAAATGATCATTCGACATATGCACATCAAATTATCAGATATTTTACAGAGATTTTATTAATAAGTATAAATTTTGTTTATATTCCTATGGGTTCCGTACCAATGGCGACGCGGCGCTTACGTGCTTTGATATTTCGTCTCTATGCAGTTAAAGCAGTACGATTGCTTTGAAGAAAAGTTCAAAATTTCCAAAATATGTCAAAATAAATAAAACATTTTTTTTTCAAAAAAAAGTAATGTTAATCTTTTTAAAAAAATAATAATTCTTGGTACGCGAAATTCCAGCAATTTGCCTTAAGGCACGATGTCATATACCCCACTAGTTTAACTTTTGCTACGCGAAGTTCTAGCAATTTGCCTTAAGGCACGATGCCATACACCACTAATTTTGTAAATTTTATCAAACAAATTTTCCTAAGGAAGAATATTATTCCCTACATCTCTCACAATACAAAAATGCCTTACTGGCCAACCCAAAATACCATTACCATTACCATACCACAACCACGACGACCCTATTAGTCTCGGCTAATATCCCCGGACGCCGTTTCCTTCAATTTACCACTTGTACAAATACCGACCGAATGTTGTAAGAAGAAGAAACAGCCCTTTATCTCATCTCGATGGTTTTACATCGGGGGCCCCCGATGATGTCCGGGCGCTCTTTAGAAAAGGGTTGAATAAAAAATGAGACCGGCGGAGGAATTTAAAAGAATCTTTGCGAGGGCTAAGAAGAAAGGAAAGGAGCCCCATCGGGGTTAAACGGAGGAGATGCTTTCCTTATGCAAAACTAAACGGGTAATCGACTGTGAAATGACATTTTTTATATAGACACAGGATAAGAAATATATACAAACATTATACATTTTGATATTGGTTGTCTGCTAGAGGATAAACCCAAAATAAAAATTCAGAATTTTAAAGTTTAATGTTTTAAGTAGCTAGTAATAATTTAAAAATTTATAAATATGATCCGAAACTTAGACAGCAAAAAATTTCATGCTTCCCTAGTTAAACTTTTTAAAGACTTAGCTTTTTATGACATTACTGAATTTTCTCAATTTGAATTCAATAACTATTTTCTTGCATAATCCTTATCCTGTATCTATGTAGTCTGGCCATTTGATCGCCTGTACAACCATTATTTTTATTCATTTTTTTTATTGCTATTTTATTAATTTACATTTTTTACGGTTTTAAATGAGTATAACTTTCAACCTTGTGCAAGAATTTTGAGCTTGACTGGTGGTCAAATAGACTTTAATATGATGAACTTGATGATGAACATTGTATTTAATGTTCGAATGTTTTTTTTCAGCTCTTTTTTTTCAGAAGCGACATTCGTGCAGCTACTTTGTTTATTATAAAATTACTATCCTTTTAATATTAACTATGAATAAGCTTGACAAGAGCCTGAAATAATATCTATTATTATTGATTACGGCTTGCTTATGAATAAATAAATAAATAAATAAATAAATAAATAGATGTATATCAAAAGCCAATAAATAAATAAATAAAAAAAACCTCCCGTAGGGTAAAAAAATAAAATATTTTATATATCTTTACGTTTCAGATGTTTCTGAACATTTTGGCATATCTTAGAAAGAATGGATGTATCTGTTTGTATGTGTTTGTGCGCGTGTGTTTGTTTGTACGGATACAAACTTTCGTCGACGATTTCGGGAACACCGATCAACCGATTTTAATAATTCAAAACATTCGATTCGTATTGATAAGGAGACGTGCTGATTAGTTTTTGGCAAAGGCAGGTCCAGCCGTTTCGGAGATAAAGGGCAAAAAGTGCTACAAGCGGTACCTCAGTTTTTGAGAGAACGGAGCGTCCGATTTGAATAATTCAAAAAACATTTTACTTGTATTGACAAGTTAAAGAACTGATCAATGAAGGCAGGTCTAGCGGTTTCGGAGATCTAGTGAAGAAAGTAAAGAAAAATGCCATCTGGCGGTCAAAAATGATCATTAGACATATGCACATCAAATTATCAGATATTTTATAGAGATTTTAATATTGTGCACATATTTTGTGTAAATTTTTTTGAGTTCCGTACCAAGATTTTTAATTTTAAAGTTTACCTATATGGTTCAAACAAATGTCCTCGATATTATGGAATAACCGATTTGTATGATTAAAAGATCATTCGCTTGCGAGGCGTTTTTGCAAAAGGCAATTTTACCGTTTCGGAGGTATGGAGCGCAAAGGGTGTAAAAACGGTTTTGCTGTTTTTGAGAGAACGGATTATCCGATTAGATTAATTCAAAAAACATTTTGTTTGAGTAGACAAAAAATCATAATTTTCAAAAAAAAAATTCAAAAGTTCTTAAAATTCAAAGTTTCGAATATTTTCATCATTTTTTAAAAAAAAAATTTGAAAAATTATAAAAAAAATGATTTCTTACATTTTCTTCTCAAAAAATTGAGAATATTCTAAAAATTTAAAAAAAATCGAATATTTTAAAAAATTTCCTTATTCTCAAAATATTAAAAAAACCTTTTTTTTAAATTCCAAAAAAATTTAAACTTTGAAAAAAAAACTTCAAAAATTTGAAAAAGGTTCTGAATTATGAAAAAAATTTAACAAAAAATTCTGAATTATTAAAAAAAACGAATTTAAAAAAGCTGACTCTTGTAAACGTACACAAAATTTTCCAAATTCCCAAAATGTTAAGAAAAACGTTTTTCTTAAATTTCAGAAAATTTTAAACTTCGAGAAAAACTTAAAATTTTGAAAATGATTCTAAATTCTGAAAAAAATTCTAAATTTTGAAAAAAATTCTAAATTATCAAAAAAATTAAATTTTAAAATAATGGCCTCTTGTAAACGTACACATAAGTTGTTTAGAAATACGCTCTTCGCCCAATTGAAGAAGCAATTTTACACAAATTTACAGAATGTATTTATAATAAATAATATAATTAAAAATCTTCAAAACAATTATTGACTATTTTCATTCCTCGAATTTTTAATTACGGTACGGGAAGTTCCAGCAATTTGCCTTAAGGCACTATGCCATAAATAACAGTTAAAAATAATTTTGTTCTAAAAGTCTCTAAATAATATATGCAGATTTGTCAGTAATTTTATTAGGGAACAAAATTTGTCAGTAATTTTATTTAGGAAATTTAAGGGAACAAATTGTAATCGATGTCTGGAATTACTTGATTCACAATTTAAATATAAATGTACATAAAACGATGTATTATATGTCCCATTGTCAAATATTTCTAGATAGTTCTAGTATTTCTTCCTTATAGTCCATGTTTCTAATCCATTCTGATTTTATCAGTTTCCAACACAATTTTCTCGTCTACGTCATGTATGTAATCAAGAGTCTTTTCATACTCAATGTTAAACTTATTAAAATGTCCTCATCTCGTGTTCTTTTACAAAACGGAAAATTACCTCTTTTGTGTTGAGGATTCTCTAAATTGTGCTTCTGAATTGCCTTTTCATCAGAAATTGATGATGATGAGATAAAATACACGTGGGAAGATAATTGGATTGTTGACTAGAGATGGTTGAAAGATATGAATAACAACTAGAGTAAATTTTCTTAAATTTAACAATAAAATCACGGTTACATTTTGTTAGATTTTACGTTGTTTTCTTAAAAACTTGTTCAAATACATATTAATATCTATATATAAATAGAAAGCTAATAAAATTACTGAAAGATCTGTATATACCATTTATAAACGCTCCCAATCATTTATAAACATTTAGGACAAA